AGGAAGGAAGGAGGGAGGGAAGGAACTAGGTAGGAAATAGGAAGAGGAAGAAAGGAAGGGGGGAAAGCATGTCACTAGGGAGGACAGGAAAAAAGAAAAGAAAAGAAAAACTAGACAAGTGCCAAGTGAATAATACTGGCTGAAACCAAATGAAAGGGAACAAAGAAAGACAGGAAATGAGTAACAAGTAACCAACAAACCTTGGTGCACATAGATAATAGATCTTTCTTTGTGTGGGTTTCATTCTTTGTACATAAGCTGGTAAATTAGTCAATGCCCCAGGTTTTTCACTTGATGATTCAAATAACAACAGCTTAGATATCTCTTCCTTCTGGTCCTGATTCTCTGTGGTGACCACACCCTCTCGGATATACACCGAGCAATCCTTAAAGAACTTTTCGTACTTGACTCTGTCCTTTCTGGCTTGTTCTTGGAGGAACTTGACTATCCTTGCCGAGAGGACGTCGCTAAGCTTTCTGATGAGAGCACTGTCTTGCAGTAGCTCCCGACTCAAATTCAATGGGATGTCTTCACTGTCAACAACACCTCGAACAAACCTCAACCAGCGAGGTAACACCTAGAAATAAACRAACAATCCGTGTTTTTACAAGAGTAGCATTTATTTGTCAGTTTATTTGACAGTTACGTGGTGTATGATCATACAGGATGATGAAATGGTGATTGACGCATCATGTTGATGGTAATGACAATGACCCTGATGCTCAATGATGATCTTTGTATAATGTTTTCACCTTTTCTGCTTTGCCTTGTATAAGTACTCTTCTGCTGTAAAGGGATATGCCAGAATCACTCTGCTGCATGGACAATATCTGAGGTAGAGTCTCGGGAATGTAGAATATACTACGAATATTTAGGGGTGCGTCTGTCTTGTAATGTAAGTAGTATCGGGGTTTGTCGTATGTGCCACCAAGAAACTGKAAGAACTCCTGTTAAAAAAGAAAACATTTGTACAGTTTCAACTGGGTGTACAAGACCACCCCCCATGAGAATGATTTTCAAGTGCTGTACATCAACCCTCCCAAGCAACAGTTTTGTCTAATGTCTTATTTATTTGATACTGAATACGGTAGTTTTTCTTTGAATGTGTAGTTCCAGAAATCATCCAYAGCCACCCAAAGAGGAATTTGGAATTTCCAAAGAGTAGGGGGGTCAGAGAAAGAACAAAAATTACAGAGTTTGTATGGAAGAAATTTGGAATTTCCTGGGGGTAGGAGGGTGTCTTTAAAAAATTCCTCYGTGAGGGGGGTATGGATAATTTTTGGAACTACACAATATGACTACAAGTTATTATTTTGTGCTTTACATTTGGGCACTGAAATTTCATTCATTSATGTGGAATTCCTGTGGGTATACTATAATAAAGAATCACTATGCTACACTTATTAAATTTGCCACCCCCTCACCCTCTCCCATGGAGGAGTCCTCGCTGTGCCCCTGGTATACACAATACCTCATGTTGTTCACTGCTTATGTCTTTTGGTTCTAAAGTCCAGAGAGGCTGCAAGAGAAGAAAAAGTGTTGCTTTATTATTATTCCTTTGCACATGAAATCATAGCCACCATCTCAGTCAAATTCAACAAGGACTTATCAATGAATTATTTTGTTATATCAACCAGGGTTCGTGCTACATTCTCATTACAAAATTCAAGGACTTTTTAAGCACTTTTCAAGCACTTTTCGAGCACAAAAAATCCAATTTTTTAAAGGATAAAGTTTTTTGTATTAGAATTGGTTTTAAGCATTGATTCAATGTTACAGTGCAGCTAATTCAGCCGGGGCCATAAGCTTAGATAAAAAATGAGCATGACTCGCAACCAACCAGTAAACGAGCAACCAGAAACTCTTCAATCAATTTTAATCGTTATTTATTTTAAAAGGTAAGTTAGAAATAACATTAAGTTGGCATTAAATTCAAGGAGTTTTGGCATTTYCCCCTATTTTCAAGAGCTTTTCAAGCGCCCTTAAGAATGTGTTTTCAATTCAAGGACTTTTCAAGGATTTCAAGGAGTAGCACGAACCCTGATCAACCAACATGGGTGTCACATCTTTTGTTACTTCACTCCTTTGGCATYGATTGAAAGCCAGCAATAAGTGGAAAATGAGCTAGTATAATAATTACTAAGTGACTTTTAAAACATAGGAGATGATACAGGGGTGAATCAAATGACGTTAACTTAAGTTGATATGTTTTATCCCTCTTGAAATAAAGTCATCATCAACATCCTCATTATTATCATCATTCTTGGAAAGTAGCAGGAGGGTGCTTTGGATAATTTACTAATTTGGAATGGGAACCAGTTAATTTGTTTTAAATTTTTAGTCTTGCAAATTTGTATCAAAATAAGAGTTACCTTGAAGCTTTCTTATTTCTCATGTACATACCACCCCCTGCTATAACAAGTAGCCTCTAACTTGATTTACCTGTATCGTGTTGATACACACACCATTTAGGTATATCGGAAAACCAACAAAGTTGCTGTACTTTCGAACAATTTCTGAAAAAAACAAAAAGTCAGTGAATTTTTTCTATAGTTTAATATTTATTAATATTAATATATAATTTTAATATAGTTTATAATACTTCCTCTTTGTGAACATGTCAAGCTCAAAATAACAGTAGGTTACAGGACAATGTCCAGCCAAGATTGCCATTTGTCTTTCACTAGACAGCTGGTCTCATGTTGTATAGGTCCGATATGTCCAGTCTTCATTCATATCTGGTCATTGAACAGCTGTCATTTTTAGCCCGGCCTATAAAGGCTTTGCACCATCAAAAAGCTCATCACTCGAAAAGCAGAAAAAAATCTTGGCTAAGCCTAGTTTCTTTCACGCTCTATAGCTCCAAGAGTGTTTATATCACAGTACAGAGACATGCGTGCACATTTTATATTCCTTAAAATAATTTAGTAAAAAATACACAGGTGATTATTGAAAATCTCGCGCGCTGATTGGTCGAGAAACTCACAGTAACACACGATAATCACCTCCAGCRATAATCCAAAATGGCCGCCAGCCCCTTTGTTGCTGTTATGGGGAAAAAATGTCTTTTATCTTCTGTTTTTTTCTTTTTTTAAAGTGCTACTACGACGAAAATCGCTCAAACTTGGATTCAGCTGAAACTTCTTAAAAATACTCTTGAAAGGTCCAATAATCACTGTATGAAGTGTTTTCTCGATATTCAGKACGAAAGTATGATATTTTTA